CATCCCCCTCCTCTGCAGCCACATCTTTCCACAGGTTCCTGCTAATGCTCCTGTGCAGCTGGCAGCATCCGAAGGGCTCACCCAGCCCTTGTCCCGTCCCAGCTCGGCAGCCTTCCTAAGTGTGTGTGCAGCCCCCACCCCCCTGCCCTGCTCTGGGCTGCTGGCACACCCCCAGCTATGCCCAGGAGAGACCCCAGCCCACAGCCAGCGGAGGGCTCTGGGCAGACTCACCTGCATCTGCACCCGTCGCTTGGGATCTGGATGGAAAGAGGGACAGAGAAGGTAACAGTCAGGGGAGTGCTCTGGCCCTGCCGTGAGCTCAGGGGTCAGAGCCAGAGCTCTGCAGGTCCTGCAGCTCACGCTGTGCCTGCTGCTGCTGCCAGGCTGGGGACCACAGCGGGAGAGCTGAGCTGGACCCACAGGGCACCAGCACTTTCCTCCAAGAGCTGGCCCAGCTTGGGTTGCAGCAGTGCAAACATGCCTGCCCCCGAGGACAGAGCCCACTGACCCGGCACGGCGATGGGCTCTGGCAGCCATGCCCTGGAAGTGTCCCCAGAAGGGTTGCCCCACTCTCGGCAGTGCTGCCACTGTCCTCCCCGCTCGGCTCCGTGGCCCCATGTGGCCCCTCTGGCCAAGGCATCGCTTCCCATGTCCCAGCCCCTTACCTGTGTGGACCAGGCAGTAGATGCAGACGCCCACGAGGCACGTGACAACCGCAGCTGTGATGGGGATCAGGACTGACAGTGAGGAGCGCCTGCCCGACTCTGCCGAGGGAGATGGGGTCAGTGAGGCACCCGCGTGACCCTCCCACCCAGACGCCACATGCCCTGAGCTGCCTCTGCTCCAGGCCCTGTCCCGCCGGGACCCCTCATGGGGACACAGGAAGGCACCACGCCATCAGTGCGGTCAGACCCTCTGCTCCCAAAAACACCCATGGGTCAGGCCAGCTCCTCCGAGTGCTGTGGGAGCCAGAGATCTCTGCTCTGCACCGACCCAGCCTGGCACTTACCGCAGATCACATCCGAGGCGTTTGTCCCTTTCGCCTTCACCACCAGCCCCTTTTCCTCACAGCTGCAGGGAAGAAAGAGACCATGTCACCGCAGCAGCAGCCTGAGCACACAGAAAGCCCCAGAGGAGGAACAGCCGGGGCTGCAGCCACCGGGAGCTGCATGAGAAAGCGTCCTGACCTGAGGATGCCAGGCTCTGGGGGGTGAGTAGCCTGTGCTGCATGACAGGGACACCAGGTACATAGCAGGGCCCCACCCTGGGGTCCCAGTGTGGAGTTGCTGAAACTGCTGAAGACAGGGACAAGTTTGGGGACAAGGCAGAGGAGGGAGTGGATATTTGAGACCTGCCCGGTCAGGGAGGGGGACTCAGGCACTGCAGCTATTGCAGAACAGCTCAGAGATGTCTTGATGACAGGCTACAAGTGGCTCCGTGGGGAGGTAATTTCTGGGCACAGATAAAAGCAAAGTGAAATCCAATGGCTGGCAGCTGAAGCGAGACTAATTCAGCCTGGAAATAAGGCTCACGTTTCTACCAGGGAGTGCAATTAACCCTCAAGCAGCTTTCTAAAAACAGGGACGACCTGCCAGCCCATGGCATCCTCAGAGCCTGACTCCCCACAGAGAGGGCTGATGCCTTGGCTGATGACTACAGCCCAGGAGTGTGCTGGGAGGGAGAGCCTGGACAGGGTATGGGGTGTTCCCATAGACCCATATCCCTTGCTACCCAATGAATATGGCAGCGTGGATGTCCCTGGAGGGGCCAGCACTCCGTGCACATGCTGAGGAACAGTCACAATGGCCTTGATGTCTGCCTTGAGCTCAGCCATACTGCCTGGACATCGCCACCCCCAGAGCTCTGCTCCTCTCACTCCTGTCCTACACCAGCCTGATGCTGTGTCCGTCAGAGACCATCCCAGCCACTCAGTCACCCAAGGAGGCTGTCAGCAGAGAATGTGCTCACAGGGACTGGGCACAGCTGGGGATGGGTGAAGAATGTGGTCAGCGCTCGGACAATACCTCGTCCAGGGATGGCATGGCTCAGTTTTAGAAGAGACATTGGAGAAGGTGCCTTCTGCACAGGGCTCGCAGGGGGATGACATCCGGGCCATGGCCTTGGCTGGAGAGGAGCAGAGATTGTGGGAAGGTCAGTACAGGATACGGGAGGTGAGGGGCTGGGGGGGTCAGGGTGAGCAGCCCTCCCCGTGGCACTGCTGCCAGGCACAGCAGCAGGCACAGCTCTCCCAAAGCCCTGGTAGGGACACCTTGCTAGGGGAGTCCCCCTTTCCCTGGAAGACCTGAGGTCAGTCCTGCCAGGGCATCAGTCCCGCTGAGAGGGAGGAGCTGGTCGGACTCGCCTGCCACGAAGCCGAAGCCGCGCTGGCAGGGCTGGTTCTCCACACAGGTCTGGCAGCTGGTGTCGGAGCAGTGCATGCCGGCCCGGCACTGGCACACCGTGTTGTGTGTTGCGTTTCCTTGTGTCTTCACCGTGAGGCCAGCGTCTGGGCAGAGGGAGCATGGGTGAGCTGAGGCACCGCATGGGTGAGCCTGGGCGGACACCAGCTCCTGCAGCTCCCACAGACTGAGGCCAGTGGGCACAGGGAGCACTTACTGTCTTCACAGATATCGTGGGGGGCACAGTGCCTCTCCTTGGTCCAGCTCTGCTGATAGTGTCCGCTCTCACAGTGGGTGCAGACAGACTCTGCTGTGCCATTGCATTCAGAGACCAGCTTTTCCCCTGCAACAGAGACTGGTGAGGAGGGGGTGAGGGGGCTTTCCCCCTATCCGGGCAGCAGCTCTGCCAGCAGGACAGGGGAGCACCGGCAGCTGTGGATGCCAGGACTGCTGTGACATGCTGCTCATTAGCCTG